TCGTCTGCAAATAGGCGAATCTTTGAAGAAATGTTGTTGGGGAGGTCATTTATATAAATTAAAAACAAAAGTGGTCCAATAACGGATCCTTGAGGGACACCAGATTTGACATGTATAGGTGGTGAGGTGATGTCATTTGCAAGTACTGATTGTTTTCCATCGTGCAAAAACTCACGAATCCATGTAATTACCTTATCATTAATTTTGAGATATTGTAGTTTTTTTATCAGACGACTGTGTGGTGCTCAATCAAAGGCCTTCGAAAAGTCTATAAAAATAGCGTCGATTTGTGAGGATGAGTGAATACAGGTATGCAAATCTGTTACCAGTTCAAACAGTTGGGTTTCACACGAAAGACCACGTTGAAAGCCGTGCTGATTGGCAAATAGCAGGTTGTTTGAGACTAAGTGTTTCATGACAGATGAATATATTATATGTTCTAAAAGTTTACAAGGAACAGAGGTCAATGAAATTGGTCTATAATTTGTTGGGCAATTCCGATTACCAGATTTATAAATCGGCACGACATTTGCTGATTTCCATTCGTTCGGAATGTGGCCAGTATTAAGCGATTGCTGGAATAAGCTGGCAAGCACGGCACCTGATGCATCCTTTGTTAGTTTAAGTAGCTTCGAGCATACACCATCAGGACCCGGGCTGGATTTTGTCGGCAAGCGGTTAATGGCACTGATAACACCATCAATATTGATTTGCACATCGTCCATTTCTGGAATGACGATTGTAGGTGTAACATGGCGGTCAGATAAAGGGAGCTCGTCGGTAAACACTTCGCCAAAAAATGTGTTAAGCTTAAAAGCGGACTCGGATGCAGAAAGCTTTACGCCACCTTCTTGGAGTAAAGGAAATGTATTTTGTTTCTTTGGGGTTTACGACATGCCAGAACTTCTTTGGATTTGTTTTTAGTATGCTAGATAAATCGTCGTTGAAAAAACTATTCTTCGTCTTTCTTATCTCATTTTTGCATAAGCGCGCACAATCTTCGTACGACTGCCAGTCACGGTCTGAATTTGAAGAACTGGCCTTTCTGAAAAGTCTCTTCTTTTTGGAGATCAAGCGTTTTACGCTTCGTGAAAAGCAGGGACAACCCTCACTCGGGTTAATGATTAACTTAGGAACAAAAGCTTCACGTATATAGATTAGTTTGTTTTTTATTGAAACCCAGTTTTCTTCAACAGAGCGTGTATGGAAGGTGTTTTCATACTGAATCAAAAAGTCTGACAGTGTTACCGCAATATCACTATAATTTGCCTTAGAGTAGTCATATATCACTTTTTTTAGGTTCACTCTCGCAGCATCCGATATCTTATAGCAGAAATAAACAATTCTATGGTCGCTAATTTCATCCAGCACGCGTACAGACATGTTTTCGGGGTGAGTGGCACAAACAAGGTCCAGTACTGCATCTCCGTGTGTGGGATCATTTACCAATTGTTTCATTGAAAATGAATCTAAGAGATTTATAAAACTTAAACACTCTTCTACCCGTGAGCAAGTATTACGTAATTGGAGGTTGGACCAATCGATCCCAGGATAATTAAAATCACCTGCCAATATAAGTGGTAAATGTGGATACTTGAAATGAATAAATTCTAGAATATCTGTTAGTCTGTTGACAAATTCACATGTTGAATCAGGTGGTCGGTAACAAATTCCAACTATAATATTCTGAAAGGATACGGTACCAATGGAAACCCAAAGGGTTTCAAGAGGAGAGTCGATTGAAATCAGAGTGCAAGATATGTCCTTTCGAACTGCGATGATTATGCCACCGCCTCGTGTGGAAATTCGGTCCTTACGGAATATGTTAAAATTGTCGCTTAAAAGTAAACTGGAATTTGAAATAGTATCGGTAAGCCACGTTTCGGTTGCAACAATAACATCTGCTGTGCATGAAATAATGCTGCTTTCGAGGTCATCCTGTTTTGGCAGAAGGCTTCTAAAGTTTGCAAGCAAAAATGAGAGAGGGCGGTGCTGATTGCAGGCGCTCACAGTTGTTCTAGGTTTGGATTTATATTTTTTGTGTCACGATTGTAGATCCCGTGGCGCGTCTGCAGTTCTCCGTTCCCTCGAGGCAGGCAAAACACCATCGGTTTCGTCGCAGTAAACGTACATCGGATTGTTGATAAAGAGCTTATCGAAAGCAAGGTTTACCCCATCCCGCGTGGTTCGGACCGATTTTGCATAATCCCAAAGTTTTTTTTCGAATTTTCCTCACTTTTGGCGAATAGTCTTCCTCTATCCAAACTCGCGGGGTGTCAGTCGACCTTAGTCGCGACGCGCCATGGAGCACATCGTGCTTGCTCTTGAAACTTAGGAACTTAACAATAATTGGTCTGTTAAAACCTTCCCTTTTGCGGCCAACACGATGCGCCCTTTCTATATCGCCGACGTTTAGCTGCAATCGGTCCGAAAAGAAGGAAAGTGCGATTCGTTCAGTCTGAGCCCACGATTCGTTTCCCTCCTCAGGAATCCCTTTAATCAGCAAGTTATTTCTTCTCATTTGGTTGTTCATGTTGTCGACGATGTCACTTAAACCACTTACGTCCTGCTGTTTCGAGGATACGTCTTCAATTTTTCTTTCAATCTCGAAGACAACATCATTTGTTTTTTTAATTTCGTTTTGTACTTCCTTAATCTTGCCAACGGAGCTTTCGAGACTTGAAACTCTGCGTGTCAAGTCACTGATTCCCAACGACAGTTCATTTAGTTTGTCAGTGGTCTCTTTTTGATGTCTCGCATTGTCAGAAATAACAGTGTTCAGCTTCTGAAGTATTAGGTCAAGCTTAGAGCTATCGCCCTCTTTAGGGCCGGGACCGGGGTTAGCTTCGATGTCACCAGAACACATGAGCAATTTGGTGATGCAGAGAGTGAGCAACAGGATACGAGCACTTGGAAAAGCCCTGCGCAATAATAAGGCACCACTTTGTAACCTCGTGGGCACTCCCTTTGGTCTCACTTTGTGTTTTGGACAAAAAGTACCGACATGGGCCCTGTAGGTAGAAATGTCGACGCCCATTGCACACAAAAATCACAGGGACAATACTTTGGGATTTGCGGCAAAAAAGAAGCGGGTAATAACAACGTGGTAGGATTTCAACTCACCTACAGCAAAGTTAAGTTCAAAATTAGCGTGCAAAGCGCTAGGCCGCAAATCCCGCTTGAGGCGATGTGAGCACTTCTTTTGAAGGATCGGTGATGCGGTGTCGCTAGTAGTCCGGATGGTTCCGATATCAGGGCACCGGGCAGTTTTCCTCGTCGATGGCAATCAGCTGTGGCGACGATCAGCCTCGAAGTGCGGGTGACTACAGCAAAGATAAGTTCAAAATTAGTGTGCAAAGCGCTAGGCCGCAAATCCCCCGCAGCAGTAAGGCCATTTCACTCATGCATTTGACGCCCCACGTGAACGTCTAACTTCATCGTATGCTATTTGCAAGAGACACTCGGCGTGAGCATCTGTTTCATTATCTGTTACACAAACCACTGAAGCAGGCGATGGAGCAGACGATGTAGCAGACGAGGTTGCTCATCCGGGCTAGCTAGAGGGCACTGAGGGGATCTACTAGTGATGACGTTTAGAGGAGGAAACGCGCAGGCCTTGTGTTCTAGGTGGTATTGGCTGACAGCGCGCAGCGTTTCGAACAACCCAAATTCGTCGGCGCCACAATCCAATGGCTACAATCAGGGCAAGTTTGACGGTGACAGCGCAGGGAAAACCAGTCTCACACCACACTCAGGAAGACAAGAACACGCGCTAGAAGTTAGCTCGTGTGCTTGTCTACCTGAGTGTCTGGTGTGAGATTGGTTTTCCCTGCGCTGTCACCGTCAAGTATGCTTCACCAACTCGCCCAAGCATCCATCCTATCAGGGCAAGTTTGTACATTTTGCGCCGACAGCAGACGACACTTGGAATGTGGTTCAGAGTCAACAGGAACACAGATTTAATGTTTTATTGGTTAAAACAAGTATCGGAATTTATCGTATGTGACTACCAACTGCAGCAGAAACAATTTGAAAGTCGTCTGCTAGTGTCAGAAAAAGGTGCCACGAACATCCGTAGGCTCAGTAGACCAGGTGCAACGGCCATGTATGATCTCTATGGCAACGGCCACAAGCGCGCCGTCAATGATGATGATAACGAGTATTAATGCGGAGCGCGCGCCCTCTAACAGCGACCCCCCTCCGGAGCGGAGTTCCAGAACTGAGTTGGTTCTAATAACGTTGCGCCAAGGTGCAAACCCTTTACCCTGGAGTAAGATCGAGTAAATTTTAAAACACGGCTAACTACGTCGCATTCACTGGCGGCCCCAGCTGTGTCCGCGTCTACTGAGCGCGAGCAGATAGCGAGCTTCCAGTTCATTTGAAACGTGCATGCCAACACTCCCTCGGCCAGGAGCGCGAACTAGCACGCGCTCCTGGCTTCAGGACATGCATTTCTAGCGCGCGCGCTCCTTCTGCGGAAGAACGCTTCAAAGCAGCGACCTCGAGCTCTTGTGCTTGTGGCGTTGGCTGCATTCTCTGCTTAAAGTGAACGGAGTATAAACAGCGCCCTCAAAAATGGCGTCCAGTGCCAGCGCCCAGCGCCCAGCGAAGGGCTTTGCAGCCCTTCGCACAGCAGTAAGGCATTTTCACTCATGTATTTGACGCTCCACGTGAACGTTTAACTTCATCGTATGCTATAGCAAAAGACATTTGGCATGAACATCTGTTTCATTATCTGCTACACAAAGCACTGAAGCAGTCGATGGAGCAAAGGACGTCGCAGACGATGTAGCAGACGATGTTGCTCATCCGGGCTAGCTAGGGGGCACTGAGGGGATCTACTTGTGATGACGTTTAGAGGAGGAAACGCGCAGGCCTTGTGTTCTAGGTGGTATTGTTCCCACTCCCTAATAAACCACTCCTTGCCTTCCTTAAGCTGTCAGTGACAGTAAGTCATAATAATCGTCAGCCTACACGTATTCTCCCGCCTGACATATCAGATTGCTCTACTGGACAACCGGCGGCAACGACCTTCTTGGATTTGCGCTTTGCGTCGGCGCGCTGGGAGGATTTACGGAGAGCGTGTACGCAGTCATCAGCTATTCGGTGGTGTCCCTGACTTTCTACGACAATCCTGGGGTGGCTATCGTACGTATACAACTTTTTCCATCGCAAGTGTCAAATACACGAGCTAACAAAAGAACGTGCTTAACGTCATTTTGTCTTGTAACATTTGGAAGACTTCATGAACTCGCTACGTTTTCTTAGTTCCGTTGCTGGCACCTATGAAGAGTAATGTTTTACACAAAACCGATAGTCGCTTGCTATTGGCTAAAGCTGCGCTAGAGCACTGCCTTGCTTCAAGATATATAGTGACTTGAAAGGCCCCTTGTCTTACACTCTAAAAAATGTGAAGCGTCTACTCTTCCAGCAAGCACTTGCGAGATCCAATCGCTGCAATGCAGGGAAGGAGCTCGGTAAATGACGAGATTGAAAATAGGCTGAGACATAAAAAACAGTTTGCGCAATGTCACTGGCTTGAATTGGTTTTCCCAAGTGCGTTTGTCGAAAGTAGACACTCAAACTTTCTTAGGGTGTGCCCTGCTCTGTTTGTAAACGTGGCTTCGCGATACAAGTGTCGTGAATATCTACTAGCGATAACCTTGCGTTTCTCTTCCACGCACACAGGCCGCAATGCAGTTCCTTTGGGGTACTGGAGGGGCGGTAGGAGCCATCATTGGTGGGCTTTTGATTGATGTAAGCACCTGACTGTTCAATGTAATGACTGATATCTATGACTGATACCGTATTTACTCGAGTAATAGCCACACTTATTATGAACAAGGCCCATGTGTCTACTTTCCCGCAAAGCACATATTGTCACGAATGAAGGTGACGAAAAGCCGAACAGTGAACTGAAAATAAAGATTTAATGGGCGAACTTGTGCCAACCAAAAATAAATAAAGAAAGAGCGTCGAGGTAGCAGAAAAGCGGGCGGCGGTTCGGCGGCACTACAGAGCGCTAGCGAAACTGGGACTGACTCGACAAGGTCGCGGGAGCCGCTTATCTACCCTGCGTCACTATCTCGAAAGTTCGGCAAAGAAGGTTCGAGCGTCGCGCGCTCGGGGCGAGGATGAACTGGCACTTTCGAGAATAACAAAGCAGAACGAAAGTTACGTCTGCTGCGAGAATGACCGGGAATCTTCTAGAAGACCGTGACCGAGCGTTGCCTTCTCGGCTCTGCGGGTGGCATTATCCCCCCTTTAAAAGTGCATCGCCCCGATGCAAAACGAAAGGAAAACGGAAATGGCTAAAACAATTACGGCGAAACAAAACAAACATGCAGTTTCACAATCCTAACGCGCGTAGAACGGCTTGAGTCGAACTACGTGGACGACTTCGGGTCGTGGCTGGCGGCGTCCTGATGGGCGAGTTCCGTCGGGGAGCACCTCGTAGTTCAAGTCCCCAAGGCGGCGGATGACCTTGTAGGGTCCGAAGTAGCGTTTTAACAGTTTCTCGCTGAGGCCGCGGCGGCGAATGGGCGTCCACACCCATACCCTGTCTCCGGGCTGGAACTCCACGTCGCGGCGGCGGAGGTTGTAGCGGCCTGCGTCGACACGTTGCTGGTTCTTTATTCGAAGACGGGCTAGCTGTCGTACTTCTTCTGCTCGTTGGGTGACCAGCTGGGCGTCGTCGGTGCCGTCGTCCGTTGGATCGTGGGGCAGCATGGCGTCGAGCATCGTCGTCACCTTTCTGCCGTGCACCAGCTGAAAGGGTGTAACGCCGGTAGTTTCTTGAATCGCCGTGTTGTACGCAAACGTGACGTAGGGCAGCACTTCATCCCACGTCTTGTGTTCCACGTCCACGTACATAGAAATCATGTCGGCGATGGTCTTGTTTAGTCGCTCCGTCAGCCCATTGGTCTGCGGGTGGTATGCCGTGGTCCGGCGGTGGTCGGTGTGGCTCAGGCGGAGTATCTCTTGTGTCAGGTGCGCCATGAACGAGGATCCTCGGTCCGTAATCAGGACTTGGGGAGCGCCGTGTCGGAGGACGATAGACTCCACGAAGAATTTGGCTACTTCCACGGCGGTCCCCGACGGGAGTGCTTTTGTCTCGGCGTACCTGGTGAGATAATCAGTTGCCACGATTATCCACCGGTTTCCCTGCGCCGACGGTGGGAAAGGTCCGAGAAGATCCATTCCAACCTGCTGGAATGGTGCAATCGGGGGCGCGATCGGTTGCAGGAGACCTGCCGGCTTCGTCGGTGGTTTCTTGCGTCGTTGGCATTCGTGGCACGAACGGACGTAGAGGTGGACAGTCTTCGGAAGCTTGGGCCAGTAGTATTTTTCTCGGATCCGTGCAAGGGTCCTACTGTAGCCAAGGTGACCAGATGTTGGGTCGTCGTGGCAGGCTTGGAAGATCTCTTCTCGAAGACTGGCAGGAATCACCAGCAGCCACGTCGAGTTGTTGTCCCTGAAGTTTTCTTTATAGAGGATACCTCTCCGGACGGTGAATCTTGGCAGGTCACGTGAGAAGGCTCGGGGAATCGTACCCCCTCGTCCCTCCAAGTGGTCGATCAATGCACGCAACTCAGGATCGTCCCGCTGGAGCGCTGCCATGCCGTGAATGCTCACCGCGCCAAGAAAGTGGTCGTCGTCGTCGTCGTCTTTGGCACATCCGGTAGCTGACTCGACAGGGGCTCTGGACAGGGAGTCGGCGTCGCTGTGTTTTCGGCCTGACTTGTAGACCACGGTTACGTCGTACTCCTGCAGTCGTAGGCTCCATCGAGCGAGGCGTCCCGATGGGTCCTTCAGGCTCGCTAACCAACACAGCGAATGGTGGTCGGTGACCACCCGAAAAGGAGTTCCGTACAGGTATGGGCGGAATTTCGTGATGGCCCAGACGACGGCCAGACATTCCTTCTCGGTCGTTGAGTAATTGCGTTCCGCGTTCGACAGCGTCCGGCTAGCGTATGCGATCACGCGCTCCGCACCGTCTTGTCGTTGGACCAGTACCGCTCCGAGTCCTGTATTACTGGCGTCCGTGTGGACCTCCGTTTCGGCTGATTGGTCGAAGTGGCCGAGGATCGGTGGTGACTGGAGCCGTCGCTTTAGTTCGTCGAATGCCTGTTGTTGTTCTCCACCCCATTCGAAGTTCACGGCGTCTTTCGTAAGGCGCGTTAGCGGCGCAGAAAGCTTGGCGAAATCCTGAACGAATCGCCGGTAGTATGCGCAAAGTCCAAGGAATCTTCGGACGGCCTTTTTGTCGGTGGGCGGTGGAAAGGCCGCTACGGCGCGAGTTTTCTCAGGGTCAGGACTTACACCTTCGTTGCTCACAACGTGGCCCAGGAACTTCAGTTCGCCGTAGGCAAACCGGCACTTCGTCGGCTTGAGTGTGAGTCCAGCGGTCCTGATTGCCTCTAAAACGGCCCGAAGGCGTCGCAAATGCTCGTCGAAGTTAGCCGAGAATACCACGACGTCATCGAGGTAAACGAGACAGCTCTGCCACTTGAGGCCTGCCAGGACGGTGTCCATGACACGTTGGAACGTTGCCGGCGCCGTGCACAGTCCGAAGGGCATCACCTTGAACTCAAACAGTCCGTCGGGCGTGACGAAGGCAGTCTTTTCTCGGTCCCGTTCGTCGACTTCGATCTGCCAGTAGCCACTCTTAAGGTCCATCGACGAAAAGTATCGGGAGTGGCGCAGCCGGTCCAGCGTGTCGTCGATGCGGGGGAGCGGATACACATCTTTCTTCGTGACCGCGTTGAGCCGCCGGTAGTCAACGCAGAATCGAAGCGTTCCGTCTTTCTTCTTTACCAGCACAACTGGAGAGGCCCACGGGCTGCTCGAAGGCTGAATGATGTCGTCGTTGAGCATCTCCTGTACTTGTTCATGAATGGCCTCTCGTTCCTTTGGGGAGACCCGGTACGGCGGCCGATGCACAGGGAGCGCGTCCTCGTTGGTAATGATGCGGTGTTTCGCAACTGTTGTCTGGCGCACCCTCGACGTCGTCGCAAAGCAGTCGCCGAACTCGGCGAGGAGGTCTCTGAGCTGTCGTCGTTTCGTGGCGCTGAGCTTGGGGTTAACGTCAAGCTGTTGCGGCACTGTACTGGACGGCTGACATGGCGAGGGCTCTTCGGAGATCGCGGCGATTTCGGCGTCGGCCCGGAGTTCCTCGACGTGTCCTATAGTTGCACCTTTCGTTAGATGCTGCGCCTCCGGTCGAACGTTCGTCACGAGGACCACACAACGTCTATCCTGCAGCTCTGCTACGCCCCTTGCGACGCCTATTCCTCTTCCGAGAAGCAGTTGGACGTTGCCTTCCAGAAGGACTTTCCCGCTGGCAACTGCGTCGGTCACGACGGGCACAAGAACACTCGACCGTGGCGGCAGGTTCACGTGGTCCGCAAGGACTCGGACGGCGGCTGGCGAAGTTTTGGATTCCTCCGGAGGTAGCACGGGCTTTCGCAGCGTCAACCTGTTTGCTCCAAGGTCGATCACAGCACCGTACTCACAGAGGAAGTCCATGCCAAGGATGACGTCTCTCGAACAGTCTTTGAGGACGACGAACTTCACGGGGCAGGTCTCTCCGTGGATGTCCACGCGCGCAGTACACCTTCCCACTGGTGTGATGAGATGTCCACCGGCGGTTCGTATTTTCGGACCTTCCCACGGCATCATCACCTTCCGAAGGCGGCGAGAGAGCTTCCCACTTAAAACCGAATAGTCTGCTCCGGTGTCGATGAGCGCCTTCGCGTCGTGGCCGTCGATGGTAACGTCGAGGTTATTCGACACCGTCGAAGAACCGTCGTTCCTATCCGTCTCGTGGCTAGTGTGGGAGCCCTCCGACGTTTGTGGAGGATATTGGCGTCGTTCGTCATCGGCAATACCACCTCCCGGTATTGCCGCACTCAGTTTTCCCGGCGGGACACGGGAGACAGGCTCTCTCGGCGGGACCTACGATGAGGCGATGCAGGGCGTTGCGGTGATGGCGATCGGTAACCGCGGCGGGGAGACGGTCCTGGGGATGGCGAACGGCGGAGGTATTCGTCGATGTCCCTAGGTCGCTCTCCGTAACGTGGTCGCGGGTCGTCGGGGTGGAAGCCTCGTAACCCCAGCTGCCGGTACGGGCAACGGCGATAGACATGATCGGCTTCCCCGCAATGGTAACAAAGCGGGCGTCGGTCGGCCGTTCGCCACACGTCGGTTTTCCTGGGTGCTGGTTTTTCCGGGCGCACGTACTGCCGTTCTTCGCGACGTTGGGAGTACTGTGGCGCTGGAGGTTGACGTCGTGGTGGCACCGTAGCTTGGCGGGGAGCTTGCGGCGGTCGTCTGGCCATGGCGGCGTAGGTCAGCCGCGGTTCCTCAGGGGCTTGCTCGTTGACGGGAGTTTCAGGCTGCAAGGCCCGCTGTACCTCGTCGCGCACGATCTCGGTGACTGACAGCGACGCCGGACGCTCAGCAGCGGGGAGCAGCTTCCGGAGCTCCTCTCGGACGACGTCTCGGATAATGTCACGGATGTCGCGGGTACGGGCGCCGATGTCGTCATTAAGCAGTGTGGAGGCAACGACGCCGGGATGTCGTTGGTAGTAGGAGGCGCGTGCTTGGAGGGCGCGCTCCATGTTCGTAGCCTCCGTGACAAACGCTTCGACGGTGGTCGGCGGGTAGCGGACGAGGCCCCCAAAGATGTCGTCCCTCACCCCGCGCATAAGGACACGCAGCTTCTTGTCTTCGGTGGATTGTGGGTCGGCACGCGCGCTCAGTCGCAGGACGTCTTGAACGAAGCTGGTGACGCTTTCGTTGGGGCCTTGCGTCCTCGTCCGAAGGAGGTCTTCGGCTCTCTCCCTTCGGTGCTGACTGGCGAACGTCCCTCGGAGCTCTCCTTTCAGCTGGTCCCATGACGTAATCGAGGTTTCACGATTCTCGAACCACTGTCGCGCCGTTCCCTCGAGGGAAAAATAGACATTTTGAAGACGCTGTTCCGGAGTCCATTGGTTGTGCAGCGCCACCCGTTCGTATTGCTGCAACCAATCTTCGACGTCTTCGTAGATCTCGCCGTGGAAGGACGTCGGTGTACGAGGGGCGACGGGCAGGTAGACGACGGGGGCGACAGTCGGGGTCTGCGACGACTGGGGGTCCATGGTCGGCTTCGTCGACTGGTTGGTCTTCTTCGGCAGTAGACCGTATGAAACCCGTGCAAAGTACCCCGCACCTCCACCAGAAATGTCACGAATGAAGGTGACGAAAAGCCGAACAGTGAACTGAAAATAAAGATTTAATGGGCGAACTTGTGCCAACCAAAAAATAAATAAAGAAAGAGCGTCGAGGTAGCAGAAAAGCGGGCGGCGGTTCGGCGGCACTACAGAGCGCTAGCGAAACTGGGACTGACTCGACAAGGTCGCGGGAGCCGCTTATCTACCCTGCGTCACTATCTCGAAAGTTCGGCAAAGAAGGTTCGAGCGTCGCGCGCTCGGGGCGAGGATGAACTGGCACTTTCGAGAATAACAAAGCAGAACGAAAGTTACGTCTGCTGCGAGAATGACCGGGAATCTTCTAGAAGACCGTGACCGAGCGTTGCCTTCTCGGCTCTGCGGGTGTGTCTACTTTCCCGCAAAGCACATATAGAGTCAGTCATCACCTTGCGCATAAATAACATAGTGAATTACTACATCAAGAACACGAGTATTCATACAAATGCAACCTTCACAGATGGTATCTTCGCGCGAGGACGTTATCTCTGTCCTGAAAACAGCTGGAATCATGTTGTCGATACGCGGTGATTGGCAATTCGCGCGCTCCGCGGAAAAGCGAACTCTCCGGTTTTCTTCATAAACAGTGCGGCTATTGCTCGAATAAATACGGTATGATCACTTTTTTCTTCTGATATGTGTTGAATTTGTTGGTAATTTGCCTAAAACTGGTGTGCGCTAGCGGCTCATATTACTTTTATTTTTTTTAACAACACGCTCCTTCTGCACAGTTGTGGGCCTACCCGCTACCATTCTTCGTTGTGCCATCGCTCTTCATTGTACTTTTGCCTCCAATCGCCAGATCAGGCGTATTTAAAAGGCTGCGAAAAGGTGAGCTGTTATTTTCTTTTTTTCATGAACGACACTTGTTACACTAGTGTCTCGAAATCATTACAGTGAGATTGTGCGAACAGACACTAGATAGACACGAGTGCTGTGTAAGCGTCCTGCTGCGCCTCGTGTTCAGCCAATGTGTCGAAGGACGCCCAACGCCGCGCTCGAGCCCAGCCGCTCAGTAGGCGCCATCCAAGTGTGGACAGATTACGTGGAAATACTCGAGGCTGAAGTCGACGTTGATAATTGTAGGTGGTGCTAAATATGGCACAGGGACAAGGAATGGGGCAGGCGTCCTGAGCGCTTTCCCTGCCCAGCGTGCCTTTCGGAAGGCAAAGTGTTTCTGGAACCTCTTTATACATGACTTGCGTTGACGTCACATCAGCTGCCATCGCAGACAGAAAGCGGTGGGCGTTCGGAAAAAAAGAAACTTAAGATATTGTAGCAAAGAGCTGAAAGCTATACTTTATATTTTATGTTTATTCGAACAATTCTAGGATATTCTTGTCTCGTAGGAACCCCCTTACAAACTGATTGAAAAGATAGAAGCAATATCGAAGTGGTAGATTCGTTTAAGTAACTGTCATCCGGGTCGGAAGTGTTTCAAACGTAAGAACAGAACTAAATTGGTCAATATTGGGCATCCGACAAAAACAAGAAAACCGCAAGCCTGTTCCTTTTCCACGACAAAGCGGAAATCCCGATGAAAAATTTCTTGATGATTGACGCCGCACTATTTGTCTTAGAGAGTAGTAAGCCGTTCAAATATAAATGTCTATCACAATGCCACTCGTCATTTCTGTTTCTACCGAAGGAGAGTGGAACCTGTTGCCATCCTCGTAATTTCCTATGTCAATTCGCCATGCTTATTCTTCAATATTTTATGCACCCCTCTCCCTGTTACAATGACCTAAGGGGCATGGCAAGGTCAAACGTGAATGAATAAATGAACGAATTGTAGTGGCCTTGCTGCTACTCGCGCGCCTCACGCAGCATACATTTCTTTTCACCACCGAATTTGCTTCTTTTACGAAGAACAAATAAGGATGACCACCAGCAAAGCGCGAAGATATCGCGTGCAAGGCACGCATCCGTAGTGACTGGCCAACAACATGTATTGCGGGGCAAAATACATAAGCCTGCATTTCTTAAGATGTAGTTCAATCATTTTGGCTGCTGTACTTTATTTTAACAACATTGGATGCTCACCATTGTTTGTTAGGACACACTCCACTGTGTATCTACTGGCAAATACCGTTCATTCGAACTGTTTTCCCAGACGCCGACCTCTCGTGCTTGGAAGAAAGTGCCGTCTACCATCACCTTCTTGGCGACATCGTTTTCGCTGTCTGTCTGATCAACATGATACTCAACGGAAGCATTTTTGGGTTCAACGAAACCACGCTAGAACCTTACCTGCAAAATGTGAGTTCATCGTGTCTCTAGGAGTGTTTACCAAAGGCCCTTGAACTTGAATGCCAGCATAGTTCCAGGAAAGCAGCTCGGCCGTCGGCAGCGTGTTCATGACCCAATTGGCGAGTTTCTCGGTGGGATCTGCTCTGGCTGGGATCATCTGCTATTTTAAGGTAGGTAGGTATTCATAACACCACCGATACCTAAGCAAACTCATTTGCCTGCTTGTGCAACAAAAGTTATATAGTGTTTTTTTGTTTGTTTCTGTTCTCTGCATATCGATAGGTTGAAGCCACCTTCATTCCAGTTGCCCACATTTGCAATGTTTTAGCATACATTCTTCTAGGCCCGGCGCCTTTTCTACCATTTGAACCGTGAGTACTCGCGCTTAAGGGCCTGTCCAAACAGGCTACTACAAAAGTCGTCAGGGCACACGACTCCTGCAAAATCGTCAAAATTGAACCGTTCGGCAGTCGAGGGTGACATGTCTGTTTGGACACCGGCCAAGCCAAATTCACGACTTTCCTCCTCGCCTCGTCCACTTTTCTTTGACGTCGGTGCTCGTCAGACTTGACGTCACACCTGCCAATGGTGTGCCTGATGCCTGTCTTGCTCCCGCGGCTCACAAAGTCGCCAACCTTGCTACCGCCGTCACCTCGGCAGGAAGGCCAAAGATGTCCGTCCGGCTTCGGGTGGATTTGGGAGATTCCTGCGTCGAAGTACGCGTTTCGGCCGCCCCGGCTCAGTTTTTTTTTTTTTTTCGTTAAAATCCACGCTCGTAGCTCAAACAAAAAGTGCAGTGCGCAACAGTGAGACTTTTAGTTGTATGTAGAAACGTAGAACACTGAGAACTTAATATATCATTTATTTTATTAAATTCCAAATGAGCTAGGTTTGTTTGTCTATACGAGGTACGTTAGGAACAAGAGCCGCGGGAATCCGATCCAATCCACAGAACTACTGCAAGGTGACACGACCTTGGACACGACGCGCGCTCGCCTGGCTTGCCCCCTCACACTCGAGTCTTTCCTTTCCCGTTTTCGGGACTTTTAAAGCGGCGGAGGCTTTGAGCGATTGACCGGCATCCAACAGAGCGTGTGAGTGGCTCTCCGGACCCACGTGATGAGCAGAACAAGGCCGCCGTGGAGGAATTTGATTTAACTTGATTCTTCCGATATGCATTGGAAGAATCAAATTAAAAACATAAGCACAAAACTTGCACGCGGATGCTACACACTACTAAAGGCTCGGGAGTGTTTTAATTCGTCTATACTGCGCATTCTATACTTTGCATTTGTACATAGTCACTTGAATTACTGTATAGAGTTTTGGGGCGGAACATACACCACATATTTAGAGCCACTCAGTCGATTGCAGAAAAGGGCTATGAGACTCATTACTTATTCTTTATATACCGAACCAAGTGGTCCTCTATTTTGATCAGTTGGTGTGCTGCCACTAGGCCTCCTATACAACTTAAAAATAGCTGAAACAGTCTTTAAAATAATAAGAACTAACGACCCACTCCCATTACAGATATTTAAATTACCATTACGGAATACGAGAGCTGCAACAATTAATCTGTTTAATTTGCCATCTTGTCGAAATGTTTATGGAGAAAGGCTTACTGAATTCAACGGTGCCCTGGTATGGAATGATATCCCTACCAACATCAAATGTAAGCCCAATATATTGCCATCCTTAAAGAAGTATTTAATTAAATTGCGAGCCAATGAATAAGTTCAATATCATACCCTATATATTTTTTTTTCAATTAGTATGTATGTTGTTTTGTGAATACTTTGATGTGCGCGTACATTTGTTTTGTTTGCCTGCCGCATTGTAAAGGTTATTTCGTATGTTGGACCCGCGACTAGCCTCCACGGCTATGGGTCCAAGCAACGATTGTGTATTTAAAAAAAGAATAACAAAGGAATAATAAAGGAAAGAAAAAAAGAAAGAAAGAAGCGAGGGGGAGAATTTGACGGGGGGAAGTTTCCCCCCGGCAGATTTGACAGGGGGAAATTTCTCCCCGACGGCCGGAAGCGGAGCGCCGCACGATTTGCCGGAGTCGTGAATTTTGAAGTATCCTGTTTGGACAGGAATTTAGACTTTTTTTGTTTGTAATTCGTCATACGGCCCTATGTTCAACCCAGTGGTACAAAACACCTCAACTAGCTGCTTTCCATTTTAAAGAAAGGTTTTCGTTTCGCTTTCAATGGACTATTTCCATAAAGCCCTGCATGCAACACGGCACGCGTTACACTCTGGGAACTAGTTGGCCAGGGAGGAGGTTGGCATGGTTTCGGTTTCGTTCGACACGTCAACAAAAGATTATACACAGAGCATCATGTTTTCTGGTCCCGAGAGCGTCATTTAACTATCAACTAACCTAAATGGTCAGACCTCAAAGCTTTAGCGCAAGCCCGAGACGTATAACTTGTCTTAACACATGCTTGTTGTATTTGTGTACTTGAGCTTTTTGTTAGCGGTTCGAGGTATGTGGACGAGCCAGTGCTGCAAATCTCGACGCTGCGAGGCTCGGGGATCTTGCTTGTGTACCAATCAACAAGCTGTAGCAATCAATAAGTATGCATACATCGAGCCCGCGCATTTACATTAGTGTTGTTGATCAAGAAGTTTGTTTGTTTTGTGCGTCCATAGACAAAATATAACTCTTTGCAATTACTGTTTTTCTTAACACGCCTGAGTACGCGAGGTAAAACTCGGAGGCGCCATTGAAAAAGCTCAGTTTTAACACATTTCTTATCCCTTATATGTACTGACCCGCAGCACTGCACGAAGCGAAGTCCCCACCCGCTTGCACTAATATTCAGCATCGCGTATGCGCATAAAGTTATCCTGTAATCATATAGGCACATTCGCACATACAAATCGTTTTAAGCAAGCAAACGTCGAGCACTTGAGTGAAAAATGTCGCACCGTTCGTCGAAAGTGCGCCGGACGGGCATGAACCCTTTACGGTGCGCCAAACGAACAAAATTATTTAAAGGGCATTTGACGGTTGGTAATGGCCATTATATTTATTATGTGTTGGCTTTCTTCCTGGCTGTGTATGCCGAGGTAATTTCAGACACATCATTCAGGCACAGATCTTGGGCGTCAGTAAAAGCTCGTCCAACAAGGCTTAGCGAGGAGTAGGGGAGGCTTGCTATCCTCTGCCGTAGCTAGCCAATCTCAGTGTTTGCGAAAACTTAAAGGGGTCATGAAACGATTTCCCTACTTCTTCCTCCTTAGCTTTAATCCTCAACTCAAATGCGAATTGTGAAATCACGTGGTCGTGACATTCCTTCGGCACCGGTGCAATGACTCCTAGATTCCACCGTGCTTTTTATGCAGACCATAGAACTTCTCGTTCCCCAGTGACGATAAGTTCCGTCAGTGCACTCATTGGCCACGAACGCGAATCCAAATATTCGTCGACGGATTGATTGTTGACGAGCGCATATGTCCGAGTGACGCAGTTCTCGTGTCCAATGCGTGAGCTGGGCTCTGCTGACGTCAGTTTGGCACCAGTGACGCGCTTTTGGAACCGCGGATATATCATAGTGAAAAGGCGGAGAGCTTTCGAAGGCAAGAAGGCACAATATAGTCCGCTATATGTTCAAATGTTCGTATCGAAAAGCTGGCTTTTGACTTTCTAGCCTCTTTCTTTTGGCCAACTAAACGATATGCAATTAGTGAAGTCCCAATTTAAAATCATTCATCCCAACCCAAAATTCGTTTCATAGGCCCTTTAACCATCTATCAGCATAAACTTTGAGTGGGAAATATATGATGACACAAGGAAGACATCATAGTAAATTGTGCAGTAGTGAGGTCAAATTTATTGCGTTTCCTGAAAAGTTCATGCTTTAAAGCTGGACTCAACGTTGATACTCCTGTGAGGATGCGGCTTGCTTCTCGCCCAATGAAGTAACAAGAAGCCGACGTTTGGCAGACAAAATACGTGCAAGGCTCAAGGTGACCAATTTTAAGTTGTAGTTCACTGGTATACTAGACGGGATTATCGAAATTGAGCTCAAAGATGCACTCGTGGGGTGAGGTGACTAAGCCATATCTTACTAAGTTTGCATGCGCACGCACAATATCCGGTGTTTCGGGAACCAAGGAAAGTGCCCCCGTCTTCGTTTTGTATCGCTCGAGAATCAGTGAATTATACAATGTGCATTCGTAAAAAGTCAGATAATCTAAAACGCAAGCAGGGCGTTCGGTCGCGGGGTGATAGCATGAGATGAAGCTGCTCAGTCGAAACCGAAATTCAGTGGCCAATTAGTTCCCCGAGTGCACTGCTTGGTAATTCGCCGCGATGGGGCGCATCGGTTTTGGAAGAAGTCCATTGTCCAAAACACCGGAGACTGTTACTCTAGCGCAATACTCTTACAATTTCCAGGAATGGTCTCCTTTATTCACAAACCGCCCAGGCCCCAGCCGTAAAATACGCGCTTGGCTCTTTTCACTCCTAAAAATATAAGTATGCATACTCACCCGAAATTCCCTCGAAACTTCAATGGTTGGAATTTCGTAACTCACTTAATGAGCGAGAAGGTCGATCGGCATTATGTATAATAATGAGCGGCAACATAAAAATTCCCCTTGAGGCAAAGTGACCATCCTGCATAAATATATATCTACAACAGATCACTGAACGTAAATTCAAGCGGGTGCATTTTCATCTCTGGAACTGCACGACCATCGGAGCATAATACGTACCGCCCACCTCATTGTATAAAGAAATGCCAAATAGTGAATACACCGAAAGAAATCCCATCTCATTTGAGAGAAGCAGTTTTCTTTTCCTCCCGTGGCTGTGACCTTATGGTACAGATCAGAGTTTAGCTGGCTACAGATCTCCGTCTTAATACTCCTCTCAAACGAATAGCAAGTTATTGAAATAGTCAGATAGTTTAAGATTGAGTTTTTGGATCAGACTAACTTTGTATAAAAGCGATGCACTTCCTTTAGTTCGTTCGAGTAATTTAAATTTGTATCAACCACAGATGACCGCTTCGTGTTCGGAGAGTAAAATGTATGCCTCGCCACACTGTGGTGCCTGATGCGCATCTCCGACAAGTGTGTTTAGTTTTCAATACGGCCCACTAGCTGAGGTGTTTCTAAAGTGGCAACATAATGCGTCACATATGAGTCGCCGGACGGTCTATCTGGTTTAATCGATTGTGGCGACTGGTCCTAGAAACCTCAAAAACTAAAAAGGGAAGCAGGTGCTAGTGCCTCTGTTTTGTAAGAGAATGTAAAGATGGGCCAATTGGTACCTCGCATTGAAACAAAAAGCGCCAGAAAACAATGCATAAAAGAAGACAATCTCTTTTTTCGTCTCTTTTCTTTTCCCGTTCTCTGGCGCTTTTATGTTTGGTGTCTCTGTTTTCGAGGTGGCTCACTGTGGTTCTTGGAGTTTCCATCAACTTTCAGGTTGCAGAACAAGCTACAGCAGCTACATACCTTTCTTGAGTACCCAACTATTCTGTGACGATATGCAGTGATCCTGGGGGTGCTGTGACGTCACGAATTTAAAAACCGAAGGAACATAAGATGAACGTGGCAAACGCATCAGTCGGAGAGGTCTTCTAGGAATTGTGGCCAGACCAGCCCGTTTTTTTTTAACTTAATCCCAGGAACCTCTACCTCATCTACTTTTCTCAAGTCTTGGTGGGATCAGGCATGGCCTCGGTGTGCGTGCTGTCTTATTGTCACGCTCTCAACAGAGCCGTGTAAGTTCGCCATTCGCTTTGAAAAGTTGGTATTAGATAGAGGCACGAATATCATTTTGAAATACTTTGTGTCTACACATTAGATTGATAATCTTCCCATGCAGCCGCAGTTCTATTTTGATCTCGACGGACCACAGTGACATCGCGCTCTTCCGTTTGTAAGCCTGACCTTGAATAGTGATAGCACTTGCAATAGGCATCATATTGATTTTCATTTCGTAATCCAGCACGTCACACTTCATCCCCACAGTTCACTCACAGAGAAACCCGACAAATATCAAGAAATAAGGCACCAAATCTGGTGCAGAAGAAGAACAGATACACTGCAGTGTCGGTGAATATTTTGACAGCAGTCCGTCAGTATTACCAGAAAACCAAGACATTTTGACCTTCAAGAGTACACATGTAGGTCTATGTATTCCAGTAATCATTAAAACCAAGGCAGTTTCTAAAGTTACATTGAACTCAATGAAAATAACTGCCAGAATAAAACCTCCATCGTTGACCAATAAAGCGAAAATACCAAATAAAAATAACACCCTTCCCTTTTAATTATCGCGACTATTTCTTAATGTACAATTACCGGATACTTTTACACTGCATCACTGCATATTGTGAAAAACGCAAATGACTCTGCATATACAAGTCTTATTTTCTTTCTTTACCATATAGTAAAAAGGGGTACAATGAAAATATCAGAACAAACACCTTTCTGTCTTCTGCAATGTTCAGTGCCTACGTCATTGGGTAAGTGGATCACAGACATTTACATATAAAATTAGCTAATGGTAAACGCACCGCGGGTTTCAGAGACGCAAGGATGGCCGTGGCTAATTCGAGTTTCTTCCAGCTCGAGAATTACGTTCCGATTACTTTCTCCCTGTTTCCTAGGGTGGTCAGAATGCGCGAGGACATGTGCACAGCGTGACACTATTAGCACAAACAGGCGTTCGTCGGTTTCTTTTCTTTTTTATTTTATTGGATTCTAAGCGTTGTCGTCAAAGCTACTAGTCGGGTGTTAAGTGCTCATTTGGCGCTCTAGCCTAAGACGATAACATTTTATGTCCGCTAATGAAATTTCGGTGTCCAACCTGAAAATCTTCCAATGGCGTGTTTGTGCTAAATCTATTCCGCAGTGGGCAGTAGATGAAACTTTCGAGGGCTATTCGTTCGAGCTGGAAGCTGGCTCTCTAAGAAAGAAAACAAATCTTACCGACGCATTGCTGGCACAGCCAGGTAATCCTAGCCTACGTACTCCGCACCCTAAAAACTTCAGTGCGCCTTCTTTCCTGTAAAGCACTTCAGAAAGCCAATTACTGGAATCTATACGGAGGGAACTCGGTCCATCACGAGGCTTGTGTTTAAACCTCAAAAGATAGAGTCTGCGTTTTGACACTGAGCATAACGTAAGAACGTGAAATGATATCCTCGGTGTTAATTCACACTTAAGTATATGTACGTTTAGTTAAAATTAAATACGTTTAACGTAGTCCCATAGTGCAGCTAAGTGGCGCGCGACAATGCAGTAAAGTTACTACTCTCTTTTCTTTAAAGACAATGACAGCAAGACGTATTTCTATACAAAAAGATACATCATCGAATGATAAAACAAAATATAAAAACATATCCCAGGACAGTTAAGCACTTCTTATGAGTTGTGAATGCGAAAGCATGAATGTCCAATTGAACACCGCGGAGTGTTCCGCGGCGTTTTGCGGCCGCCGACGATGTAGACGCTTGAGGCGGCGCCATGTTCGTCGGCGCCTAGAGGAGCAGAATCGGCCGAGCACGCGCCACCATGTTCCTGTCACGGGGAACAAGGGGGACCGCAGCGCCATGGAGTTTATTCCTTGAAACTAGGGCGCGCGCCCGCAAGGCGAGTTTATATTCTCCGTTTTGCTGCTACAGACTACAGGCTTCGCTCCATGAGAAAGGAGACTTTAGGTGTGCGGTTTGGAGCGGCTTCAATTAGAGCTGATAACGTCGGTTCGTTCCATGCGTCAGTTAATGTTTTTGCATCATTATATCGCTGTCATCAATTTTAAACTTCTACGATGTCTTTCAGACTAAGAACCCTTTGGAATACTGTGTATTATCTCCCCAATAAGTGTAGTTATTTTTCGAACCAGTCGCTGATTGTGCTCGCAATTCCGAAATTGCTCAAATATTGTATGCGCCTTTCTTGCATCATCGAGTTCACCGAACTAATTGAGTGCTACTCCTGCTTTCGAAGCATAACGGCAGATCTTCAAGTTTTCATAATTCGCGGAGAGTATACACTGCACCGCCGTATACCCGGAACATAAAATATTTTTACATCTTTCACCAATTGAAACAAAAACCCTAAAATTAAAAAAAAAAAAGTTATGAGTGCCAATTTACCCTAAAGCCCTTGGAAGGGCCAACCCTGCAATCTATGGGAAGACATTGGCAAATGATGAGGCCTACAAATATCTTTAGAAATAAAATTTAAAAAAAGCCTTCGCTCTGGATTTGAGAATAGTGAAACACCACCGCGCAGTATGCTTTTAGGTATTAACATATTATAGACCTCCCCACGGAGCGTGACGAGGGAAATGTAACACAATAAGACCGCCTGGAAGTCGATATTGGTGTTTAAGTCATGCACGTACAGTTTACCCGCACGTATCCAGCATTGACGGTTGCAAATACTCTTTCCTCGTGAAATCTACCCAAGACCGGAACAAATCGCCACTGCCGTTCCTTCCGTAAAGGTATTTAAAAAATAAAATGTTAAATTTCTTTCTTTGCGTATAGTCAATCGATGTTTTGTAGTGTGTATAACTTCGTGTATCATACCTTTATAACCGCACGTTCTAATGTTTGTTGTTTGTCGTCCTGCAATATCTCGAAAAGAGTCGGCAGTAATTGAAATAAATAAATAGAATAAGTAAATATCGCAGAGAGATTTGCTTTTTCATGTGCTTTGCGGGAAAGACGACGCTACAGATTTCTTAGGGTGCCTGCGAGAAGGGCTGCACGCTTCCGTCAACGTGTAGCCTTTGCGGCCAGAAGGTATCATCGCCTCTGCCACTCAGACCGCATGGCTATCGCACTACGGTACCGATAACTATTCCCATCGGTGGAGCCAAATAAGAGAGGATTAATGATGGCGGCCTTTAGTTCCAGTAAGGAGCTATATACTCAGGGTATATATTTGCAACCTTTCTAACTCGCTGTCGCAATACGAAGCCGCAGTGGCGGCGGTTGCGTGAAACGTCGTCAGCTGGAATACCTTGCGGTTAGGCATTCATATTATTGAGCTGGGACAGCACAGCAGACGATCGTGGGATGTGTGAGCAATAAAAAAGAGTCAATCCAATATTAAGCTTCATGTTGCCGTCTTCCAATAGGGCAATCATAAGCCCCCCAATAAGCGGGTACGTGGTGGAAACCTTTGGCTACAGAAAAGGATCGATGTCACTCCTGGGAGTTCTGCTGGCATGGGTAAGACACGGTTTACTTTGGCTGCATGTCACTGACAGCTTAAGAAACTCAGGGTGTGTCTACTTTCAAATTTTATAGTGTCGCTCTACAGGCAGTCCGGTCGCCGCATCAGCCGAGGAGAGCGCCGAAGAACGAATTACGAAGCAAGAAGTATGCTTATAATGGACCTCGTCCTAAGTTCGTCATCTGTCGGTGACCATGGATGGCGAACATTTTCAATTGTATTCTTGAGTTAGCCTATATTTTGCGCTATAGAGGTAGCAAGGTGATATTATGTACAAACAAATCATAATAACAAGTTAGGTTGATAGCAAATAAAATTTCGATATTAATTCGACGTTTCTCCAAGAACACGTATCTCCTTCGGGGTTACGTGAAGTTAACGAGACGTCGGCTGTCCCGTTGGATTACGGCAGCATGTAGTTGCTTATGTTAGTATACAGAATAAGAATCTATAGAGCGCGAGAACGCACATTGGCCTAGAAAGAATTCTAAGTTCAAATATTTATTCTCATTAGAGCGATTAGAGCTTGCAGTATGTAGCTGGCAGTTCCTCTTGTTAATTTCTGTTACCTCGTTTTCAGACCCCAGCAACCCTGATCCCAAGATTGAAGCTTTTCGAGAATCCAAGGGAACATAATGCGGAGTTGCGTGTTCTTAGGTGGCACTCGAAGAGGTCGGTTGTCTCGCCACGTGACGCAACTCAAATATAAGGATGAAATGAAGATAATAATGCCAATTTTATTTTGACGTCCTTTTTTGTACTTACATCGCAATTCTACAGCACTCAAATATCGATATAGCCACCAGCAAGCTAAGAACGGTAGGAAGGAGCTTCAGCTTTCCCGCCCCCAACTCGAGCATCCTGCCTTCGACAACACTGCTGCGTCTCGTGCTCCGCGTGCGCGCACGCGCAGCCAAAGCACAACGGAAGGCACAGAGTGCGTGCAGAAGTCCGGCCGTTCGCAAGGCACGATCCGCCGTTCTGATTCTGTCAGTGGCTATAGAACGTCTAAATTAATTTACTTTTCGCTGATTAATAAAAGCGCAGCTGCGTGCGAATGAGGCTTAAGTTCCTTAATACCGCGCATCGTTCTTTTACGAGTAGCGCAACAAGCCAAGTATTATTGACGAAGCACATTCCGAAAGAATAGAACGCCGCTTCGAATATCATTGTGCCTCTATTCACAGCTCCAAAGGACGCCACGCCACAAAGCGCAAAGTACGTAAAGGCGAAGAGCAAGGACCTATGCTGCCTACCCAAGCGTGCCGCGAAAACTGTCGCCGCTTGGCGGCTGAATTGTGAAAGGGGAAGAAAGGGGAGGAAATGCATGCGAACAGCCCATTCTAATGATGGTCTCCTGCGAGTCGCCATATGTTTACTCTGCTGTAGATCGGTATTATGGGCGTGCGCAGCAGCTCTCTTCTCGCAAATTTTCGTACGCCAAGCATGCGTCCACGGCCCATGACTGCAGTTTCGGCAGTGGGGCTAAATTTTAAGCTTTTTTTAGAAGAATTTATGTAGGTACTTCTGGGTTCTTCCTGAAAGCCGCACCGTCGTGTCAGCCGGCGCAGGCAAGAATGTAGCCACTTATAAAATGCACAGAGCGCGTCTCTTACGTATATACCGACCGGCCGCTGAAGTTTGGTGCGGCAAGTAGCGTCTTCTAATGCGTTATTATTGCAACTCTGAGACGGCCCGCGGCAAGGCAGCCGCTGGATGAGAAGCCGAGCTTGAACCCCGTCCGAACTGCGACGCAGCTCTCGTGCCCAATCGTTCGATGGAATGGCCTACTCAAAGTGGTCTTTCTCTGCCACCTGCCGCGCTGACTAGCAGCCGTCGTATGCCCTCCCGTTCGCTGTTTGCGGCTATAGGAAATTTAGGCCAACGGTGAAGACGGGACCATATGGAGGGACCAGCAGTAAGGAATCCGCTTTTGGCAAAACGCTTAGCTAAGGTACATAGATAAAAGGCGCACTCCGGTGTTAGGAACAGAACGCCCTGCACTAAAAAAAAAGTTGAGTAAGAAACAGAAATTGTCTGGCAGTTGGCTGTAAAGCTCTGTTCTCTGACCTTTTTTAATTTTTGTTTTTTCGTTTTGTTATTTAACATACTTTTTTGTAAAATAACAAGTTCCCGCAAAAGAAACATGGCGGCTGGCAAGCGACAGAGGAGCAATAGGAGTAGGGTGAGGCCTAGCGAGCTGGACTACTTTTCACTAAATTACGATTCTCAAGTGCGTATGCCCGTTTGCTGTCTTCCGTACGCACTAAAACACTCCAAAACGCCTCTCGAAGTACCGGCACCGCACTTATTACGAGTAGGAGCGAGAATCTGAGTGAGGGATCCGCGGGTTTGTCCGCGACAGCTTTCGCACGGCCGGCTGGATTTGCTTCGCAGTCAGAAAACATTCCAAGAAGGAATCGCATAGCGACAAGTTGAATGCTGTCTTTATTTAAGAAAGTATCTGCTTGCTGTGCTTGCTGTAAGTGATCCGGCGTTTTGGTTGACAGCGACGAGGCCAGGCATCACTGATTCAAGAAGCGTCGGTTTCTATCGTTTAACGCCTCACCTGTCAGCATTCGTTATCTAGTTTCAAGTCCTTTGTAATCCGCACCGCGCTTGTGCACAGACTTCGCGCTATTCAGAGCACAAAACACCCATTCAGTTGGCCTCACAATTACCGCGATTGTTATCGAACTGAGAGGTAGAGACGTGGGAGGCCAGTGGACCGCAGACCAGCTGGACCAGCTGTTTTTAATGCAATAAATACATGAGTGCTCAACACTAACCTTATTGAATTAAGCGGCAGCTTGCGCCACCTCAGAAGTGTAGTAGTCACCGCTCGATAGTGCTAAAAAAATTATTTATTTTTTCATATTTTATGAGACAATCACTCATAGCAATTGCTCATACACACCAATTGCTCATACACACAGCACGAACACCAACCAAAACCGAACACTGTTACAGGCACATACATATCAGCAGTACAACAAGGCACAAACAGCTCCAACACAACACCTCCGCGACTCTAACCCGATTCGTATATATGCCCTACCATTTTCTGACAATGATTAGGCAAGTGAGTGCCGCTTTTTACTGGACGAATACAAAACGCATTTGCAAGTAATATTGTATACAAGTCCTCGGTGTATTTAAATTGGCAGGCTAGACACCTCGAAGGGCAACATGATATAAACGTAATCGGCGATAGTAACACCGCACGGCATGCTCCCGATTAGTTTCATTTTCAGATTCACGCAGTGATGAGCTTACTCAAGCCATGTTGCCCCATCCTTGTTTCGCGCGTGTAATAGCAGCACAAGTTACAACATTATCTGCATTCCTAGTCAGTAATCGGCTAAAGATAACATAACTCTTATTCTTGTTTTGTTCAATTTGTTATTTTCCCCTTAAATTCGGTGCTTGGGAATAGGTGACTTAAATGTAGCGGGTAAACGCTGGCGGCACGCTTTCCCGTGTTGGTCGAGGTACCGATGAGCCGCCCTACTCGCTCCACTTTAAAAGTTCCGAAATAAAATATCGAACCCTTATGTAAAAAACAAAAAAAAAAAGTATTAAGGTCAATTATATATTTTTTTAAAATATCTAGCATAGCCAATTTCTGTTTTGTTTTTATGTACTGCATTTGGAAAAGACACACTCCCCTATCAAATTATATTAAACTTTCAGTTTTCTGTTCGCAACTAGAAGGTTGGCACGCTCCAAGGACAGGGACACTTCATATATGCGGTGTATTTAGTTCAAAGCTTTGGGGCATTACAACCAGAACTATACTGCATATATATAAAGTGGCTATAATGGAGACAAAGTGTTGATGTGGCAATTGTTTTTATTATTTTAGTTTCCAAACTTGATATACTATTTCATAATGAAAATATTTTCTCTTAAACAAAAATAAACCTTTCAAAACAACCCTGTAGGTACTTTTCAAACATTGTGGAAATCTAAATCAGAAAAGGAGTCTTTTTCAAGCACTGGACTGTCAAACTATAATAAATATGGTAATATTTAGAGCAACCTTGCAGCCTCCTTCACCTTTGAATATGAAACAAGTCAATAAACTTACATGAAAACAGGGAACATTTAAAAAAAAAACATTGTTATGAATGTATTACAAACCTATTAAATAATTAAAAGATACAACGCTCGTCATTTAATATTTAAAAAATAAAATACCAGAAAATATTATAACACACTAAGGGATATTTACACCACGCAAGATACTGGGCCATAGAACCGAACCACCAAAATGTCGTGGTAGCTGATGCACAAAAATGTAGTGATTCTCTGATGGAGAGGCGACGATGTTGGTGGGTCGACGATCAGGCTGCTACTACTTGGCGGCTGGAGACATCTAGGAAGGGCCGGTAGAGCGGCCGGGTTACGCGGTGCCCTGACGATCGAGACGAGGCAGAGGTGATTGACTTTTAGGTTTAGGTTTAATGAATCATAAAGCAGAGCATCAAAACTGAAGAACACGAACGGCGAGAGACGCGCGAGTTTAGCCTCGAGCTGACGCTTATAACAGCACAAATTGCGTCCGTGACGACGCAACAATCTAGTAAAAGCCAATTACTACACAGCCACTGAACTGGAACCCGCTACTGAATGGGAAAGTTGACGGGCTACGTACGTACAGCGGGGAGATCACAACAACGACGGGTGCAGCTTACGTCAGAAATGATCCAAACGGGAAAACCAACGTTCACAAGCAGCTACCCGGCATTCATCTTGAAAAATAAGCTCCGCACCAAAATTAAGACCGAAGAAGACAGTGTGCACGTTAATCTTTGCACTAAAATTACACATACATATAGTCTTTTTCTTTAAATAAACAAACAAAACTTTAATGCGTTAAACACGTTTAGAGAGTGAAGCTTTGTGAAGTGAAGCTTTGTGAAGTGAAGAAATACCTAATTATCCAGAAGGGTAAAACAGAAAATGTCTGTCTTTTTATTAAACAGGTTAGCAGATATTTTCTGTATGACAACAGACAGAATCTGTAAAAATGCTGTAATTTCACGAACATTTTTTACAGCCCATGCCAGGTAGAATAAACTATAAAAAAAATTAAACGTTATCTTATTTCCGCGAAATGTTCTCCCACAAGCGTGTAAATTTGATATACTTGCAAAGGTTGTGCAGTTTATCGAGGTTACACTTAGGCAAAGCTTGACTGCTGGCCGACGTTGGACAGAAGAAGAATGTAAATAAAGGTCATGCCTAGAGCACTTCGGGAACTTGAGTGTGGAGTTCCGTTCTTTGAATAGGGAGGACTAGGCTACCATTGCAATATTGTTTTATTTTCACACTGCAGCTGACCTGTGACCATGTTTTTTTCTACCTCATTTACTTTATTTCTTCATGTTCCAGACGCTGATTAGGTTTGCCGTGGAGATAAGCTGAAATCACTGAAAGATAAATGGGTGTAATCGCTAACCTAGTGTTCCTCTCGGGACAAGAGGTAATCAAAATGAAGACCTTGGTTCCAATTTAAAGGAGGAGGAAATACATTTGATTGAATCGCCTGCTCATTTTAAGCTAGGCGCAATATTTATTTAATCAAAGTATCGCACCTTGTCCGCGCGACGATATGGTGAAGAGTGACTATACCCACCTTTCTAAATTATTTTATATACGTTTTGCACACGGATACAGAGGTACTCACA